CACACACACACACACACACACACACACACACACACACACACACACACACACACACACACACACACACACACACAGCATACTAAAGTGCATCTAGACCTTGTACAGGCCAGTCTAAACATACTTCGTCTGTGTCCTGTCAAAGGCTGTGTGTGTGTGTGTATGTGCGTGTGTATGTGTGTGTGTGTGTGTGTGTGTGTGAGAGAGAGAGAGAGAGAGAGAGAGAGAGAGAGAGAGAGAGAGAGAAATGAAGTGGCCGCCATGCACGTCATCATAGAGGGGCGCTGAAAAGATGCACCCTACCCCCATATGGAAAACTTTCGTGCTGGTACTCAACAGCTACCCGGTAAGGGTATACTGCAAATTTGGTAGGGGTATACTGCAAATTTGGTAGTGGTATACTGCATTTGGTAGGGGTATACTGCAAATTTGGTAGGGGTATACTGCAAATTTGGTAGTGGTATACTGCAAATTTGGAACGGGTAACGGTAGGAGCGTAACAAAAACATTTCAGGCCCAACCGACGCAGGGGTTTTATGGGAAATTTGAATCGTGGTCAGAGGGGGCGACAGGGTAATTGGCCGTAGGAGGGGTGGGACGCAAAATAATGGAAATTACAGGTGTGCCAGACAAATTTTCCTTTTTGTCTCACCAGTACCTTTGACGGTTCGAAAATACTCGGCCTCCGACCTTTCAGGAGGCCGAAACGAAACGACGGCCGCCGATCAGATTTATCAACGGCAGGCTCGGCCTCCTAAAAGTTCGGGTGCTGGCCACGACTTGTCGAACAATAGGCTCGGAGGTACTGGTGGTTAAAAAGAAAACGCTCCGATCTATTCGTGGGGAGCAGCACGTGTGTAGTTACCTTCTTGTCATCGTGTTGTAGATGTTGTTGGGTATCTCTAAGAAGAAGAAGAGTGATAAAAAGCAGTGGCCATAGACTGCCTTTCGCACATGCATCAACAGATAGACATTACTCTCCCGCATGTACAGTTCTTTTTCTTTCTTTTTTTTTCTTTTTCTTTTTTTTTTTTCGTTTTTTTTACATCATTCCAAGTGTTGGGAGGAGTTTTTTCATCATCCCTCTCGCGCATGTACAATTCTCAGTTGTAAGAAGAAGAGGAAGAAGAAAACGAAAAAGAAAGATCACAACCAGTCACATAAACAAGAAAAGCCGTTGCTAGAGCCTCGCCAGCTCAGGCATTCTAGTGAAATGCCGAGCCTTGCTTACGCTCTCCCGACCCCCTCTTTGACAAATACTCGACATTGAAAAAGAGGCCCCGTGAGTCTCTAGCCAACGTGCCTAGCTATGGTAGAGCCTCGCCAGTTGAAGGAAGGGCAAAGCCGAACCTACCCTACGCTCTCTGCCTACTTCCGTCACCAAGGCTCGCACGCCACAACATCTCCCTGAAGCAGCGTCAAAAAGGCGATGGAGTACCGTCTTCCCCCTAGCACAACGCACCATCATTGTGGCTGTAATACTGACGGGAAATATAGCTTGTATACGTATATTATCAGGGTACGTTATGTTATGTTCGGGGGAAGACGGTAGTCAAAGGGCCTAGCGATGGTAGATCCTCGACAGCGCAGGCAAGAGTAATGTCGAGTCTGCCGTATACTCGCCGAACCTCCCCCAGCAATCCTCGACATTCGAAGGATCCCCCTGAGTCTCGCACAAGGCAAACATTGTGCCACATGTCTCGCACCGGTCACACATTGTCCCACAATCTTCCACACTCGGTTATGGTGGGCTACTGGCTGGGTATGACCAGCCCTCTACTACCTCGGCCAGCATCTACAGGGGCCCTCATCGTCTGCCTCTATTCTACTGCTACGTTGCTGGGCCAGCTCCGAGAACACATAGCCGCCTATTTTCCCTCACAGAGGCTTGCAACGTAGGACACTGGGAAAAGAAAAGATACAAGCAACAGAAACGACAATGAAAGATTGTGTCGGAAACTTTCACAATAAAACAAAATAGAACCAAAAAAAAAAAAGAGAAACTGGAACAAAGTGAATTGCATATCATACTATTCTCAACACCACTGTCCTTCGCAACATCCGTTAAAATTGGAAAGAGACGGAGAAGATTTAGCATGGCCCCTGTGCAAGGATGGCATGCATCAATCGAGAAATGCTCCAACTGTCTGAACGCCACAACAAAAAAAAAAAAAACACCGCTAGATGGTAACCAATTGCATTTAGGTACATACATAATTCCGTAACCCCACCAGGAGAGCCCTTGATATCACCCCAGGCCGTCAAGACTGCTATCCTCAGATCTATTAGGACCGGGGGCAAGCCGGTCGAAACGCCGACATGCATGTGCAACTACTGTATACTGTTTGGTGAATGCAGTACACGATTGTTCTTCTTCTTTTTCTTCTTTTTCTTCTTCTTTTTCTTCTTCTTCGTCTTCTTCGTCTTCCTCTTCTTCTTGACGCGTGTACGAAAGGCAGTTGGCCCCTGTTTTCATTATTCACTATTCTCTCTCTCTCTCTCTCTCTCTCTCTCTCTCTCTCTCTCTCTCTCTCTCTCTCTCTCTCTCTCTCTCTCAACGTACCTTGTTCCAGTCGAGTAGAATGTCCACGAAATTGTGTATCTGGCGGATCTGCCGATCGGTGAGAAGCTTGGCAAGAGGTCCTAGAGCAACCTGCGACCACTCTGGCTGTTCACTGCCACCACGAAGATCGACTGCGCGCCGAGCCCTATCTGTGTTCGCAGCACACGCGTCTCTTGGCATCTTCGTCGAATCGAGCAAAGGAGAGTGATCATCAGGATCCCGATACCGATCCTGTTTGGCATCTGCTGATTGGCAGTCTGCTACGCCAGAATGTACGTGAACTACACCGGCAACAGCAGGACCCGAGCCTGTTAACCACCCGTCGGACATTGCCTGCATCCACCCCATGCGACCTGTTATCCGCCCGTTAGAAACCGCTCGCACCCGCCCTGCGCCCATTCGTCGCCGCCCTCTGGCGATTGCTTGCAGTTCCTCCCCACCAGTTAGCCACCGCCCGTCGGCTATTCCCTGCAGCTTCTCGGCGCCCGTTAGCCACCGCCCGTCGGCCGTTGACTGCATCTTTACCCTGCATGCTGGCCACCGGCTATTGGCTATGGTCTGCAGCAGCGCCGCCCCCACCTGCCACCCGCTCATATTGAGAGAGCGGGTACGACAACGGCCACCAACATGCTTGACAAGAGAGAGGCGCCCTCTATCCCAACAGCACTCGTCGTTTGCACAGACGCCATCCTGGTGTTGGCCCTTTCGAAAACCTCCCTCAAGGGTAGCTCGGTGGCTATGGCGGTTGTTGCCAGGGAATGAGGGAGAAGCGTGCATGCAGGTGCAGAAAAGACGAGCTCTGGCCTTGGGCCGAAAAGAGGAGACGCTCGGCGCCGCCGTAGTCCGCCATCGCGCCCAAGCTCCCACAGCAGGTCCCCAGTCGAGTCCCGCATCTCCCGCAACAAGACGAAAGGCGGAACTGAACCTGCCGGTGATCGCGGCTCCTTGAGCGACCGCCTCTGGAATGTGAGAAGACATGATGAGTATCGTACGTGAGGCGTCGCCTACACTTGCGCACCTAATGTCCGCTCTCAGATTGTGCTCCCAACGCTAGACCCCGCCGATTTCCGAGCGGTAGTCTCACATTGGAGGCGGCCGTTTCCCGCCAAGCAAGCAGCTTCAGATTTGCTTCCGAGCGGCAGTCGCACATTGGACGCGGCCCGTTTCCCGCCAAACAATTTCAGATTTGCCTACGTGGCAGAATAACGGGCCATGCTCCCTCTCCCGTCCAGTTTCCCGCCAACCAATTTCAGATTTGCCTACGTGGCAGAATAACTGGCCATGCTCCCTCTCCCATCCAGACCTAAGCAGGTGAGTCACACACTGAACATAACCGTTTCCCACTGGACACGACCGTTCCCCGCCAAGCAGCTTCAGATTCTCCTACCTGGCAGAAGTACGGCGGCCATGCTCTCTCCCATTCCCGCCGAAGCGGCTTCAAATATTTTTTCTTTCTTTCTTTATAAACTAAGCTATATTCTTCTCTCAATTTCACCTTTCATCAAGCATAGCTACCTCTCACAATTAAGGGGATGCATGTTGCCCCCCGCCCTAATCGGCTGTGGTCAGGGAGTAGGGTGGGGCCGCCAGTGGGGGGGACCGGCTAATAACACAAAGACCGAGCGTTTTGCCAGCAGCCGCGCCTTTTTGCCACCGGTAATTACGCAGGTAGGTAGCGGGGGTACGCCCACAATCTTTCCCGTTCCCGCCGACGCCGCTGCGGAATTTTCGCTTATTGGCAGGGCGGTACGGCCAGGCTCTCTTTTTCAATTGCTGCAGCTGAAGGGGGGGGTCCAATTTGCCAACCTGGCAGCGGTACCGCCAGAGTCGGATCCTTTCCCGCTCAAGCGGGGCTTCAAATTGCCCTACGTGGCAGCGCGGTACAGCGAAATTTGCCTCAGGTTGTCTCTCTTCCCGCCCAGCAGGCTTCAAATTTGCTTCCCGCTCAAACGGCTGCAAATTTGCCTGCGTGCTTCTCTTCCTTTCCCGCTCGAACGGGCGTTCAAATTTGCGTACGTGGCGGCGCGGTACCGCGAAATTTGCCTCAGGTTCTCTCTCTTCCCGCCAAGCAGGTTACAAATTAACTTCCCGCTCAAACGGCTGCAAATTTGCTTGCTTGGGTCGCTTCCTTTCCCGCTCAAACGGGCCTTCAAATTTGCCTACGTGGCAGCGCGATACAGCGAAATTTGCCTCAGGCTCTCTCTCTCTCTTCCCACCAAGCAGGTTTCGAGTTTGCCTCCCGCTCAAACGGCTGCAAATTTGTCTGCGCGACACTGGGTTTGACCAGGGGCTAGGTCCCACTTGCACGAATTAAGAGATACTGACCGTAGATAGCAAAGATCAACGGCCGAAAACTCCTGATTTGCGCAACTGGGACCTTGCCCCAGGTCTTTCTCCCTTTCTTTTTTGTTTTTCTTTTTTTCCTCAGTCGTTTCTCCCTGTTACAGAAATTGAAGGCGAATCTGCTTTCTTGCCCGTTCGGATACTATGCCCATTTTGGCGGGAGCTCTTTTTGACTCGGGCCTCGCTTCACAGCCCGCCACGATAGATCGCAAGGCTGGTCATGAACGTCTCTTTCTGCACAACACGATGACGACCACACAAAGGTGTGCTTCCAACGATGAGCATCATCAGACAAGATCTTCGAGATCCGGTCGATCTCTGGATCTTTTCGTTCAAGAGGGGGTTCTAGAGGTACACAAAAGATCCGATCTCCAATCTTCAACGCTTGCTGATCAGCTTCTCTTCCTGTTCTTTTTTTTCTCTCGATTTGCGTTTGCCATCCCTGTGCAAAGGCCTCGCTAAAGTTCTCTCTGTATCGTTCCAATTTTGGACGGATGTCCGAAGCACTCTTCATGCCCTTTCGTTTCGCTCTAAAAGGGATACGTTTTTCTTTTCTCCTTCTTTTTTTGGAGTTTGTAGATAGAGAAGAGAGAAGAGTGTACGACCTACAGAACAGATTCTGTCCAAGTACAGTCATACGTAAAAACGAGAGCCTTTTTTTCGCTTTTTTCTCTTTCTCGTTGGAGTGTAGGACTGTGGAAGTGGGAAACAGCACCAACGAAATGGTATAAAGGGGAATTGAATTTCTTTACTGGTTTCGATGGCTGAAAAAACACCCCAAAAACAAAACGTGTGTCATTTTCTTGATGTTTGTATACTACGGTAGCCGTCATGCCTCCTTTAGCCGTCGGTCGATGGTCTTCCTTGTCGTAAGAGAAACTCTCTACCAAGAAGATGCAGGGCGGAACATAGTCGCAAAAGGCAAGAAGATTTAGGTCGCAACATAGTCGCAAAAGGCAAGAAGATGCAGGTCGGAACACAGTCGCAAAAGGGACGACATTCGTTCCATAATGTAATCAACAAAATAGATCGTCGTCGAGACAAGGAAGACCGTCAACCAAGGAAGACCATTGTGCCTCCTTTTCCCCTTTATTTCTCAGAGATTGAATTCGCAAAGGGCTCGAGTTTTCAATTTGACACCAGCTGATAAGGGCAGAGAACGGCTTGGAAAAAATGTGAAAAAGACCTTGTTAGCGACTCCGGGAGCTTTGCGTGGCCAACACTTTGCACAGTCATCAATACAGCAAAACTTACAGGAACGTATCAGCCAGATTTTATTCGTTATCACGGATTGCATCCTGGAAAATTCGGGGCACAGTGTAATGAAGTAGAAGAAGACGAGGGAGGACGAGGAGAAGTAAAACAGAAGAATCTGCAGGTATAGTCATGGTAACCTGTCCCTATTTCTCCTCTTCATCCCATTCCGAGCTGCTGTCATTGCGCAGGACAAAACCTTTCCTTCACAGACTGGTTGGAATGTTGGGTGGTGCTGCAAGGCGTAGTCTGGGGAGAAGCCCCCTGAGGAGTGAGTGCCAGGAGCGCAGCCTGGCCGAAACGCGTCGGGGAATTTGCGCGTTTTCAACTGAGAACTGTACATGCGGAGAAGTATTGAAATATCTTGTCGATGCGTGTGCGCGAAGCAGTCTGTGGCCACTGTTTTTCACTATTCTTCTTCTTCTTCTTCCCACTTATTTCCCTATCCTCTTCAGCTTTAAACGTAACTGCCACGTGGCATTACGAAGGCCTCCCCAGCGTCCTCATACCTCTTATCCATGTGGCATGGCAGCGACGCCCCCTCCGTCCTTGTTTCTCTCTGCTACGATCCCAACGCCATCTCTGCGCCGCAGAACCCCCTCCCTCCCTCCCTCCAACTCCGATCCCAATGTCCCTGTACCTCGCATAGACCGCTCTCCCCCATCCAGTTCAGATCCCGATATACCTATAACATGGCACGGCGAGACACCTCTCCCATCTCCACCAGCGATGTCGACGTACCGCCATATCGCACAATGCAACCATCCACCTCCCCTCCTCCCTCTTTTCCTCTTCTTCTTCATCACCTTCATTTGCCTCCGATGACCTACGCCGATCGTGACGTCTCTGCCACGGCGCACGACGAGACCCTCCTCCCCTTGTTGTTTCTTCTTCTTAGTTGTCGGCATCGTCCTCTTACTCTTTTTCTTTTTCTCCTTCACTCCTAATCCTCCTGTTTCCTTCTCTTTTTCCTTGTCTTTCCTTCTTTCCCTCGTCTTTACTTCTCTTTCTCCTTGTCTTTCCTTCTCTCTCTCCCACCAGACACGTTGTGCGGAATTGCACAGACTGGCTTTGCCATACATAGACACGCATGTACACAAATTGCGAACGCATGCACAAATATTGCGAGCCCCACTGCAGCCATGTAGCTTGCTCCTTACGAAAACACACAAAAAAAAAGTAGCGTCTTTCCTCCTCCCCATCCCGCACCGTTAGAATAGATACATTGTCAAGCAATGAGAGAGAATAGCCGAGTTAATCTCCCTAGTATGGTGGAAAAAAAAAAAAAAAAAGATAATAGCCGRGKTCTCGAGCAAGTGGAAGAGGAGGAATCCAGCGGGCACCTCATCAGGAAGCATAGGAAAAGGAGACAGCGGGAGGGGTACATGGATGCTTACTATGGATGGTTATCATTGATTATCCATGAGAGAAATGGTTTGAGAAGGGGGCAATAAGTAGAATAGAAGGCGGAGTTAGCAGGCAAGCTCATGGATGGAACCCCGGAGGGCGAGGGTGAGGGAGGAGCAAGTCAATCGTATCTGCGATAGCAACAATTTGAAACTTCAAGAATCCTAAACACCTGGAATCCAAAAATCCAAAAAGCCAAATTGCACAATTAACTTCAAAAAATACAGTGAAAACCTCTCTCTCTCTCTCTCTCTCTCTCTCTCTCTCTCTCTCTCTCTCTCTCTCTCTCTCTCTCTCTCTCACACACACACACACACACACACACACACACACACAGAGGGTTGGTGTGATTGAAGTCGACCACTATTGTCAGTGGTATCGCTAACTCTGGGTGACGTGGTGAATCCTTGGCCCTCGCCGCACCACTCACCAAATGTGCAAAATGAGAATTAATCTTCCGTAAGAACATGCAGAGATATAAGGCATATTTTTGTGTCTTTTCAGCATTTAGTGAGCAGTGCGGCGAGCCCCCTTATCCATCAGTCACATGCATCCTGGGCATACCGCCGGAGTTCAACCTCCTGATGAGTGGTTAAAACTCCGATCAGACAGTGTGGCACAGTCATGCTTTTCTTTGTGGAGTCATGTACAGCGAATATGACCACACGCACGCACGCACACACACACACAAAGCGAATATGACGAAACACACACACAGACACACATATAGCGCGCGCTCATCCTCAATGGATAGCTTCTATGTCGAACCATGTGCACAACTGACATGCCACCTCCTGACGATTCGCCCAATTCCCTTGGCTGCTTTTTGAAAAGAAAGGCAACTACCCAAGAGCCTAGCTCAGTGGGTACACCCATGAACTGTTGAAACACAAACCTGTGTTCGAATCCAGATGATGGAACTTGACAAGTACAACCAACCACTAATGAATTGCTTGGGGCCGGTCAGCTCAATGATAATATCTCAAGGCCGTCGCCCTTTTTGGAAAAAAAAAAAAAAAAAAAAGAAAAGAAAGGCAACTGCCAACGGGCCTAGCTCACACTAGGCCCTCAAAATCACAAAATGAGCGGCCAGATCGAGTCGCTGTTTTACAAGGACTCAATCTGGTCATTTTGCGATTTTGCTATTTTGCGATTTTGAGTATGCCCTCAGTTGGTACACCTTGAACTATTGGAACACAGACCGAAGTTCGAATCCAGATGCAGTCAGGGCATACTGACCAAAAGTCTCAAAAATTTGAGGCATTTGGTTCGGTTTTTTTTAGGCCCACTCCTTACGAGTTCCTTGAGCCGTAAGGGAATTTGGCGGCGTCTTTCCACACATCCTTGAGGGAATTTGGCAGCGTCGTTGCACACATCCTTGGGGATCCCCCCAGGACGTTTCCTTGTGGCTTGCCCGCGGCCGTTTTCATATTTCATATGAAGATATGCGGCCGCGGGCGGGAGTGTCCGTGGTCCAGCGTCCGGTGTCCGTGTGGAGACGGCGTGGTCCAGCGACGTCAGGCGTCCGGCGGAAAAGGGCATGAGGCAGGCCACGAAAAATAAAATAAAAAAGGGTGCAGTCAGGGCATACTGACCAAAAGTCTCAAAAATTTGAGGCATTTGGTTCAGGTTTTTTTAGGCATTTGGGGCGTTGTTAGACACTCCTTACGAGTTCCTTGAGCCACAAGGAATTTTCCTTGTGGCTCGTAAGGGAATTTGGCGGCGCCGTTCCACGCATCCTTGGGGATGTCTCCCGAGGACGTTTCTTTAGTGGCCTGCCCGCGGCCATTTTCATATTTCATATGAAGATATGCGGCCGCGGGCGGGGGTGTCCGTGGTCCAGTGTCCGGTGTCCGTGTGGAGACGGCGTGGTCCAGCAACGTCCGGCGTCCGGCAGAAAAGGGCATGACCAGGTGCATCCATCACCGTCGAGCTTCTCCTCCACATCGTCGGCGCCGTCACACGCTGTTCCGCCAGGGGGACGACATCCACGGAAAGGCGGCAGCTTCTCGGACCTCTCCTCGGGAGGTGAGCGGGTTACGTCTCTGGGGTGCGAGGATTGAGACGGCAGTGGAGAGACGTTATCCCTGTGGAGGTGTTCGCGATGGAGGGCGGCGGAGAGGGCGGACGTGCATTGTTGACACCGCTTGAGCGGGCAGCCGTGGCGGTGGCCGTGTCAACCGTTATTCTTCGTTGTCAGCAGGAGAGGGCACTGGGACGAATGAAGGAGCAGTTGTGCGTGCGTAGAAGAAGGACGTTGATGCAAGCTGCGGATGACGGCCCCGACGGCGTGGCAACTTCAGAGGCTGTCATTGAGTTGTGCTACACGTTGGGTTGCGACGTCATTCCACGAGCAACACCGAGGTGGTGGATCAAACGCAGGACGGGGGGGGCGTGGGAAGACCTTCGACAATGCGACGATGCCATGGATGACTGCTTCAACGAGAAGCAGCACAGCGCCAAGGAGCAGCTGAGGGACGACCAGAAGCAGCACAGCGATGAGGAGCAGCAGAGGGAGCATGCGGTACAGGTCGGCCATGAAATACACGGTGGAGAGTGCAGCAATGAGCACACGACGGCGGAGAAGGCAAGAGTCTTATCGGACGTGCAGCATGTGACGTCATGCATGGGAATACGACGCTTGTGAAGAAACTTCTTATGTGGATGGACTGAAGGCGCCGCCGGGAAAATAAATAAATTATGACCGTTGATGCCAGCCGAAAACGACGCCGCCGCCCGATGGAGGCCCACCGCCAACAGTAGTCATTTGGGGTCATTGGGGGACTACGCATACGTTCCTCGAGCTCGCAAGACCGCATGATGCCGGTCGAAAACGACGACGCCACCCGATGGAGGCCCACCGCCAACAGTAGTCATTTGGGGTCATTGGGGGACTACGCATACGTTCCTCGAGCTCGCAAGACCGCATGATGCCGGTCGAAAACGACGACGCCACCCGATGGAGGCCCACCGCCAACAGTAGTCGTTGGGGGAGGTTGGGGGACTACGCAAACGTTGGACGGGGGGATGTCCATGCTAACGCCGCTGGACCACATCTGGAACACCCAAGAACCAAAACTCTCCGTCGACGCATGTCTTCGCCACTCCGTGAATCACGGTTCCTTGAGCTCCAAGGGACCTCACGAGGAAATTTTGGTTGGGGCCACAAGGATGCCACAAGGAATTTTCCTTGTGGCGTTTTCACATTTCTTTTTCAATTTTGTCCCCAAGGACAGGTGGAACGAGCGCGTCCTTGTGGATTTCACGTCCCCGAGGAGTGTCTAACGACGCCCTTGGTCATCGTGTGACCACACGGCCGACTTTGTCCTGAAAGGACGAAGTAGCGACCCTGACACTTTGCACTCAGGGCAAGTGCGCCGGGTCACACAGGCGAGGACCAAACAAAAAGATGGAATTTGTTTTTGTTTTTTTTCACGCCAGTTTAACGCGTGGGCCTTCGCTACAACGTAAGATCCTTGCCAAACCAATGTCGAAAGCACCAATTTCGACATTTTTTCTTCGAGAGTAACGAAGGAAAAATGTAGAAATGGGTTCGACATTTGTCAGAGGAGAGCCTTTCGACATGGGTGGCGGGCCAAGTTTCAACATCTCAGAATGGAAGGGGGGAAAGAAGCGCAAGTTTCAACATTTGTCAAGGTCGGGGTACTGACACGCCTTCGCCTTCTCTTCCTGCGTTTTGACAGCAGTGTCGAAAAACGCAGCCTTGGAGGTGAGCAGAAAATAAGAAAAAAAAATAAATAAAAAAAAATTGTCCGTGTATCTTTCTAGGTTGCAGGCCAAATTCAGTCGCATATTCAACCTTTTGAGAGCAGTTCCGCGAGGCCCACTGCTCTTCCGCTTGGGGACCAAGCCTTCGACAAATCCCCCGCCTCCACCACACAACAATGTCGAATGAGGGGCAACGGGTGCAGTGCCTTGACATCCCTTGTGTTCGACATTGGTTGTGTGGCGAAGGCGGGGAATTTGTCGAAAGGCCGAATGTTGAAAAGAGTCTGACACTCGTCAAAAGATTTATTGTTGCAACATTGGTGTGGCGAGGCCCTAAATGTTTTTGGTCGCACTTCCAGTTGTTTGGCGGGTTGTCTTCTTCGTCTACGATTTTCTTCAATTTGCGATTATAAAAATAAAAAAAACGAAAGGTAATTTGAGACCACCTCTGGAGGTGGTCTCAAAAAGGGTCCTCCAACGGCCCCGCAGGCCGCTGACAAAAGGGTCACCGTTTGAGGCATTTGGGTAGCGGGCCTCTCCAGTGTGACTTGAAAACTGACTCAAATTTTGGGATTCAGGGTCTTTTGGTCCTCGTGTGAGTATGCCCTCATATGAATGGGATAATGATCCAATCATTTGAATTACCTGGGGCCGGTCAGTTCAATGATGATATCTCATACCGCCTTCATAAAATGCCCCCTCCCTCGGTTGGAGCCCCATAAGTTGAGATTTTTGCCAAAATGCCCTTGAAGGATGTGAAGAGAGCGGAATGCCCTTCTGACATAAAAAACTTTGTGGAATGTCCCTTGCCTCGGTTGGACCCCCCATGTTTGCAATATAGTTGAGAGGAACATTATGGGTCTCCTTTTGTCCTTCAACGTGGATAGATACGCTGCCATATTTTGTTTGCCACAACAGCAAACGAAGATGGCGAGCTTCAAGTTGTGATAAGTTGGGATCTGTACTTCGCAGCTTCACGTACCCTTTGGAGTAAAACCCGAAGGAAGCCCCGAAGCACGGATCTTAGCTGATCAAGGAAAGCGGGGTCCATTTCGACTCTTGGGGATTAAATGCATGCATCTTTCAGGATTGCCCCTGTCCCCATTCAAATTAATCCTCCGCGCGGACGGTTAGTGACCGCGCTGAGGAATTAAATAAACAGTCAGGAATGTCGGTTGTTGGCAATCAAATTTTCTTTGTGCTAGGGTCCGCGGGGCCATCTTTAAATTCTTGCATGTCGCGTAAACTCGCTTCCCGCTCTGCATATGCACACCATGTTCCCTTCTTGTCGGGCGCCCCGCCCTGCATGTCCCTTCTTCCCCCAACTATGTGTCATATCCTCTCCTTTCCTTTCGGCGCAATTGACTGGTCATTATTGGGATGGTCGGATCAACGCCATGAGAGTGAATTTACGCGCGCATCTTGAATGACCACCCCAATTGAACATAATTATCGATCGTTCCGCCTCCTTCGACCCTTTTGGAATCATCTACACCCTTTGCTGTCTGCACCACACGCTGGCACCCCGCCGTTGTCTGCGCTATAAATTCTCGCAACCCCTTCCTCTCCTCCTCTTCAATCTTGGTCGCAATGTTGCACGAGCATATGCGAAGACTACGGCGTCGAACAGGCTTGATGTGCCCAAGTGACGAGCGGAGTGACAATGTCAAGTAGGAATAGCGGTAGACTTGGGGGTAACTTAGTTAGAGGGACTGTGCGGTGGTGGAGATCGAATGTAGCAAGCGGCATGGCCTTGTGGCTATGGTTGGTTGACACTCGGGTTGATTGGTGACTGCGCCTGAGGGAGGCCAACACTGTTGGAATTTTGAACAGCGAGGGACTGACTCTCATCATGATTGTCATTGTTGCTTTGTATAAGTGTTGTGTGTGCAGTAGACTAAGTGTGGATACTCAGTTGCATGCATGATGTTGGTTATGAGGGTTTAAGGGTGTTGAATGCTTTGTTGTCCAAGATACATGGATGTATGGATGTGGGATGATGTTGCGGGTGTAAGGCACACGTAGGCGCGTCTGGGCATTCGTGTTTTTGGTATGATATGTATGTGGTTCAAGGTATATTTTGTATTCGGTTTCAACGTATGTGGACCAGTAACGAAAAAGTTGGCATTACGAGCTTGCATAGTTTGTTCGCAAAATTTTCGACGACATTGCGTGTAGTGATGCGGCAAAAAACCCTGAATTTTGGGTCTTCCATTAACCATCTCTCACTATGGAGAGTGTTGGGGTATCAAACATCTGCCAGTATACATGAGTGTGTTGATTTCCCCTTTGTTCCCTGATCCTTGTGCTTTGAGTGAGCGCAGGGAATCGTCGCCGACTTTTTCCCTCTCTCCCCTCTCACGCTCAAGTGTCACGAGTCGGTTTGTCCCACAAGCGGTTAATAGGGACCCCCACTTTTCAGCCCTGGTTAAACCCCTCAACCCTGAAAAGTGCATTGGAGATCATTTTTTATTTTTTTTTCTGTTTGTTTTTTTTTCACCTGTTTTATTTTTGGTCAAGGTTTGTGTGTGTCAAGTTTGGTGTTTGTTGGGGTCTTGGAGTTGACTGTTTTGGCTAGCCCTGAAAAATCCTGAAAATCCTGAAAACTGAAATGAGTGAATTTTGCATGAAAACACATTTTTGCCTTGCTGTTTTATAACTTTTTAAAGTTTTTTTTTCAATTTTGTCTTGCGTTCAATTGGGCCAATTGTCAACAACGAAGGACATCGGGAGCGGGGGTCTCCCCATGTCTCCCGATTTTTTTGCTACTCGACCATAGCCATTTAATCCTGGTAACGAGTTTGTGACTGACGACATTGTGTTCCTGAACTTCAAGTTGCATTTTGTTAAGTGGGAGGGGGATGGGGGAAGGCTTATTGGGAATTGTATGGAGTGAAACTTCACTAAGTTAAACGTGAGCATGGGTAATTGTCTGTCTTCAACCCTCTCATCGGTCTGACATAACACCCTTCCACCCTTCCCGATTGCAGACGAGGACAATGTGTATTGCGATGGGGATGTGTGAAGCACGTTGTTGTGAACCGATCGGGTTCATCTATATAACCCGTCCAAAGTGGGTTTATTCTGGTTGATCGGTTTTCTTCCCTGCGATCTTGCCTTACACAGATGTGACAGTATTGCCCTGGTCTGCTGCCCACGCCACCGTGACATGGTGGCCCCAGTTTAGTTATCGCTGGTGTTGGCAGGGAGACTCGTGTTCCTGGCGAAGGCTGGTGCTGGGATACGAAGGTTCGGCTCGATTCCCATAAATCTCCTGCAATGCGGGATCCCTACCGGCGAGCTTCCGAACCTGGGTCCTCCCAACCTCGCCTTAATCGGACACTGAGGCTCCTAACCGACTTCGCGGACTTGATGAATCCTACTTGGAGGCCTAAACGCTCCCTATCTCTTAGGTCCTTACAATAGAGTTGGTGTGAACCTGGCGAGAGAGAAGCGGTAGATTTTGCATCTTCCCTTTTCTTTTTCTTGTCAACAGTTATCTTCACGGTCGAGGACTAAGTCACACCTAGCCCCCTAGCCAGCGGCAACGAAGCGAAATTTTGTTATACCCCACATGTCGGTTCTGCTTGCCCTCCGAACTCTCTTGTTTTCCCTTTCTGAGCCACCTCTGTCAACCCTAACTATGAAATAACCTCAGAAACAAAGTAAGAGTCCCCCATTTCGCCCGGGCGATTTAACCCCCACCCAAAATCCCCGGCCACACCCCCAATTACTATGATCAATGTCCCTCGGTACGAAACGTCGCGCGGTGTGAGGTTAGGGGATCACAAGCTGCTGGTTGTCAGGTTGCAAACGTCGCACCGTGATGAGTGTCTAACACCAAGCAGCCCGCTATCTCCGTTTGCTACCTTCACCTTCGCACAATTAGGGGTCATTGTATTCGAGGAAACATTGGTTTCTTCAACAACAAGAGCAACACAAAACTCATTTGTCAAATTACCATAAAAATCACCGCTCG